CTATTTAATTACAACAATAGTTTGAAAGCAATTATACACAATAACTCCCATATTCCTTAACAATTGCATGGTTCCAGCTGAAATTATATCGTTAACTACAAAAATATGAAAACTGTCCGGACAACGTTTTGACTTTTGTAGTCGTTAATTCAATAGCCCACCCTATAATTTTATATCAACTTTCACTATGATGATTAATGGGAGGAAACTGAACTTTTCCAATGCTGTACTGTTTCCGTCAAAGGTCGCTCTTAATTCGCATGCGCCTATAAAGGGCGAACGAGACACACCGGACGCGATTCGACAACGCGGCGCGATTTTTCAGCCGTTTTTTTTTAAAGTTAATAAAACAGCCCTTGAAAGGAAATTTAAAAAATATGTAAACAAAAAACTCAGAATTGGAAAATTTAAACCAGGATCAAAGTTGTCGGTCAGTGAAAATCGAAAAATCGCGCCGCTTTAATTGTCGAATCGCGTCCGATGTGTGTCGGCCTTAACCATGCAATAATAGCTCTATTTGGTGCTACACAAGAGCGACGTTTGATTAGGTTAAGTTCACCAAAATGGATTAGGTGCGACAGAGGCATTTGGAGAGAGCGACAGGTCTTGTCGTACTATGCGACTCTGGAGCGACAGCAATTCAAACGTTGCTCTTCTCATGCACCGAACCTATATATCATTAATGCATCAATTATTTTAATCTATATGTTACATGTCATTTATTTTCAGGTATTTTATATATTTATGTTAATCCAAGATTTACATTGGGAGCGATATATTTTGTTCGACGTTTGATTTGACACCGCTCCAACGTCGCTCTATACTACTATAGTGTGGTATCGAAATGTATTAAGTTCGGCGCACGAAAAGTGCGACGTTTGACCCATGTGTGCCACTTCTTTTTGTTGAATATTCTACAACGACAGCGGGAAAATCCTTAGCCGTTCATTATATAAGGGGTTTTCAAGACCAATTTGACGTGCGAAACCTAATCAACATTTAAACCTGAATGCGCAGAGTTTAAATTTTACAGAGAATATGAAATTTGATGAAAGGCAGTGAGATTTGACCTTCAAACGAAAGCAACAGTTGGAACTTTCGTTATACAACTAAAGTTCGAATTCACTTGAGAAAATAAATTCTCGACCTTTTTCGAAGTTATTATCGAAAATTGACATCTGTCTGATGATGCATGCATGGCTTTGAAACAAAGTGCAAAAAAAACACAGTCAAATTACAAATACTTGCCAGGTTTAAATATTCGTACTGAATTCTTAAGATAGCATTTTTCATCGGAGCAAAATGAGTGATGCAATATAATATACAGCATATATATAAACATAGTAAAACCTTGCAGTTATCTGAGAGGATCCTTCCACCACTTACTCCTATATTCCTATCAAGTCGCAATTATTAACTTTCAGTGTAGCCCGGGTCGTTTCATGCGCCGAATCTAATACATTTCTGGTATAGGACACTATAGACGCGGTTCGGTGCATGAGAAGAGCGATTTTGAAATGCCGTCGCTCCAGAGTCGACAAGACTTTACATATAGAACTATAATATCGTCTACATGTATAATTATAATCATATATGCAGGCACATGCAAAAACTATGTAACTGCAAGTAAATAGAGTGCAAATTGACCTGTATATTACTATTTATAATTTACGCGAATATACAACGATTGATGCGACACAATTTTTTGCCATTTTGGTTCATGGAATCAAAATGAATCTTGATCGCTTAATAATAATTGTTGCGTCACCGCCCAGCCGTTATGCAAAGATACTATCAGTTTTCTATTACATCCAATGTAATATAAAAACAGTCATATAAACGTTCACAGTCAGCCTCCTTAAATTAATCTTTGTATCAATTTGTAATAAGTTCGTAATTGGAAACGTTTTCAAACCGATGTATTTTTTGCGAAAACATTTTTGTGTTGCGAATTCCAGTATCAACAGACTATACAAAACAAACGTCTAGTTTATATCAATTTAACAGGTTTTTAAATGGCTAGTTTTATCAACACGCATGCAAACAGGCGTTTTATACGGCTAATTTGACCATTAAGTATATACGTAGGTCGAGTGACAGGTGTTTTCATAAGGAAGTTTAATTATATATTCATGAGAGTTTCCCCACTGACGTTTGTAGCCTCGTTTTGAAGTCAAAACGCAGGCTTATAAGTCAGTGAGAACTGGCGAAACTAAATTTGCCATAGCTGACTGTCCCGCGAGAAGTTCAACAAGTCAGCAGTTAAAATGCCAAGATCATTTTTGATTCGAAAACTTCTCGCAATCAGCGACAACGAAGACGACGATCCGACAGATGCTGGACGTGAAGCTAGTGAAATCGGAAAAGAACGTGGTAAGTAATTTTGTTTTATAACAAATTATTATATATAACAAATTTAATAATTTAATATATATAACAAATTATTGAGCTTGAGCATTTAACTTGTGTTCAGCATGAAAAGCATTTGTTATGAATGCTTTAATAAGTTCTCCCTGACACAGCCAGGTATATACTACAAGCATGAAAAGTAGTTGTTATGAATGCTTCAATACGTTCTCCCTGACACAGCCAGGTATACTTGACCATATAACCTTCACGGGTTATTACAACAATGTATTTTTGGAAATTTCGCATTGGCGTTTAAGCGTTTGATGTAATCTTTGACTCAGTTCTCAACAAAGTGACTCAATCACCAAGTCAGATTCCAGACGTAGTATCAAGTTCTCTCAGGAGAGATGCGGCCCTATAAAGCTCGTTAATGAATGTGTTCTGTTGGTTCAAACATTTAACAACTGCATTGAACGGTTCACATCGCCACTAAAACCTAGATTTAAATTTGCATTACTTTCATGATAAATTAAAGCGATCATTCTGATCCATAGATTTGAACAAGAACAATATAATAACAATACAACCGTAAATTATCTAAAGATATATCTTAACTTTACGAATCATGTGTGCATGCAATTTGTACAGCTGAAATATTCGATCGAGTAGAATTGAAGGGAAACAACTATGAAGTCTGCAACCACTTCACTGAATGCCCTGTTAGTGTTACAGTAAAGGGTTATCATGCATGCAGGCCCGTTGCCGTGATATTGTCCCCTATATTGAGCTGTTGTTAGTAAAATGCCCTTAAATCTAGATGGGATGCCTGAAACGACAAAGCAAAATCTGCTGCATGCATGTGATACGTACACAACCTAAATTTTGATTGCCTTTGGTTAACTATAATCGTTAGAGCGAGTAAAGAGCCGAGAGGAAAGAGAAAAAGTTGCATTTTCCGAAACGCGAGGCTATATCCATATGGCTTATTGGGTTTCAAATATAAACAGTGGCCAATTTAATAAATATACATGACGAGGCAAATGAACTCAATGCCTTATAGGCGAGGGTTACAATAAAGCTGTGCAAACGACGTATTTTGAAAATTATAATCAGCATTACATAATGAACATGCATATGCGTTTCACATTTCAAGGTTTCCTGTTAGGAAATAGGCCTACATTTATTCACAATTAAGAACTTGCACGTATATCAGAAACTATAAGTTTGCCTATATTATAGTTTACAAAAAAAAGATGATCACTATATAAAATTCAAATAGACCTACAAAATATTTTTTATGTAGTTGGAGAAAAGGTTCAGCATAAATATATAAATGGATGCATCGTTGTATTGACCTGTCCATGAGTTACAAATAAACAGATACGATTTTTTAATTGCCTGACCTGTAACATATATCTGCCTGATATATTGGTTTGGTATAGATCATTCTATGCTTGTTTCACTATAGAAAACGCCCTAAAGTGCTACAAGAGAACGAAACAGTATAGTATGGCGTAGAATGTAAAAACTAAAGAGTTTTACATTGGCGTTGCGCCAAGAGACGCGGGCGAAGTTTACTAATTAGGCTTGTCAAAAAGTTTTAAAATTTGCACACGATGCCGCAGTCAATTTCTAGTGAGCCTTAGCAGGTTGTTTTTTAATGTTAGCGGCGCGATCGGCTCTTCGACGTCCACAATTGACCGTCCAAAGTTCCATTTCGGATCATGAGTAACAAGATGGAGATTATTTCACTCATCGTATTGCCAAAATTAGTCGCAAGTATTTTGTAATGAGGTATACAATACATGCAATCATCTATAACGTGTATAAAATATAATTCACTATGTATAGTCAAAGTGAGCAGGTTTAGGTAAATAATAAGTAATTCCACCTGTAATTTCTTCACGCCTTTCATCTATGCCAGTTTATGCTTGGAGGATTATATCAACTGCGCACAGGCTATATAAGGGCGTGACGCTTGATATTAAGTATAACGCAAGCACTTCATGGTGTAGTGGACACACTAGCTCTCTAATCCATGCATATCATTTATTCCCGTGCTTTCAATACAGACCTTATAAGATACGGTGAAGCCAGGTTCAACGTTTTGAAGGATTTGTATGAAATGTTTGAGAGAACTGACAATGAGCCAGTTTCCTCAAACATTCCTTGTGCAAATCCTTCAAAACGTACACTTTACCAATGCTTTAAAATCCCTACTGTGAATCACAGAAACTTTGATAGTGTTAACTAGCCTTAAATTTAGTATACGGACGTGACAAAAAACACACGCAAAGTTCAGATAATGCGCAACACGAGTGAAAACTATTCATTCTTTTGTAAAAAAATTATAAAGGTAGAAAACAAATTTAAACTGGTAACAAATCCAAAAGTAAAACATAACTAACTGTTCCTTCGGGGACGCTGTTCCTACCGAAGAGAAAAATCGTCTGGTGTATAGCAGATATGACAACGAAAATGGTACACGCATGCATCCGACTGTTTATTATCTAATTATAATGCCCATGCACTGCGGTATATATCCCTTATATACCCATAAAATTGTCTGGTGTTAGAGAGAGTAAGATTAATAAGTGACTCATTTGTTACTTGCTTGACTGTTATCTTATACAGGGGCCTGTTGTATAAAAAAGTAGTTCGAATATTTTCACTGTTGACAGTTGGGTCTAAAATCATTGAAAATTAACCCCCTTAAGGACTTAAGTTGATGAAAACTCATTTCAATAAACTACGCACATATTCATAATTATTATCAAGTAGGAATAAATCTTAGCTAAGCTACGACAAGTTCGTGATTAGTTGCCTTTTCTTTTGTTATGCACTGCTTTAATTATAGGCACAGAGGTGAAAAAATGCGATTCTGACTAACATTTTTTATCGTACTTGCTTATTTTCAGTTTTCTCCACTTGGCATGAAAAACATGTCATTCAATAGCTAAAAGCCGGATCTTTCGGAATTACTGTAATTGACGTAAAATAGCGCGCTGAAGTTCGATTACTACTTTTTTTACACTGTATATATATTTGTACCATGGTTCAGTGGTTTACTACAAAATAAGCAAGTCAACGGAGGAATGCGAAATACCTGATCATCCAAGGTTTTACAACTTAAAATATAATAAGTGAAACCTTTTTTCATGATTTCATTTCTTTTTTCATTTTGGGGATTTTAATAAAATTATTTAATGTTCGTACGCAACTTGCTACTCAATACTATACTGCCATGAATTGTGTTCTAGTTCTTACAAAAATTACGAACACTGAAAAATACATCCATACTATCCGGTTGTCATTATGATTTATGGGCACTATATATGGATCAGTATTTAGCTATATATATATGGTATTGCTATTATACGTGATATTTTTAAGCCTGATTTTACAGTACATTTTTAATGGCAATTATGTTTTTCAATGACATGCCAAGAGTATAACTTATATATGCCCATTTATAGTTTTAATTCACTTCCTCTCTTTCAATTAATACTTTATATCTCACATTATATTATATATTTATACAGTATTAAATGCTGCAATAAAATTATAGCCTATTTATAGTGAGAATATAGTCAGTTAGAAGATATATGTTTTAAACGCAGAGTTTTCAAAATATTGCCATTGCCATAATTGGACTGAAAAATTGGATGACCCAAGAGTTGAATTTCGTGAGAAAAACACCGTTAGCAGAAAAGCGTGACGCTTATAATATTGGCGCAATATATGTCATATCAGCGCTATATCGCAGCCTTTTTTATTCCTCTTAATTTTAATTGTTTTTTAAGTATCGCACCGGCTGCACGTCCACGCGAGCATTGCCAACTCGATTCATTAAACTTTTCAATGAAGAATTTCAAACTAAATTTTCAACCGATGTTTTCAACTCGCCCGCCGGTATCCAGCCACGCACATTTTAAGTTATCGTTCACCGCATCTAGACAAAGAAATTTTCAGCGCCTTATGCACTTTGACAAAAGCTCTGTTATACTTTTCGCCTGAAGGAAAAACAAAGCTAAATGTCAACAGGTTAGGTTTACATGCTTATGAAATGTATTGACGTTGTCTAACAGGTTATATTTGCACAGTATAATAACTTTTGGAGCGTTATGAGTTTGCCTCTCTGACTCTGGAGCGTAATTTTATTCCACAAAAGAATTATACAAAAGTTGCAATTGATAATTACTAAACAAAGACCGTTTTAGAACAATCACTAATATAAACTGTAATTTATACGGCAAATTATATTCGCATAAAACGACAGTTGGGATTATTGAAATCGGTAAATTTAAAAGTGAATTGATCATTAGCCCGCTGCATGACACAGTCTGAATATTACAATATTTTTTAGTCACCAAATTAGACATTGGTCATTGCAATGATCAACACGGGTATAATTTCTGCAACTGTGAAAAAAGGAACTCACATGTACCACTGATGAGTGCCGGCAGGTTTCGTAATCTGCAGAACTTAAAACGTTTGAAGTCAAGAAACTTTGTTTAAATTTCAGTAACTTCAACATTTCATCATCTTACGGGAGGAAAATTATAAATATATTACTATTATTAGCGTAATTATGCAGGTGCTTGGCAAACATAAATGACCAATTTCTGTTTTATATCCAGGTGATTGTATCTGTTAAATGTTAATGTTTACTTCATAATGTTAATGCTAAGATAGATAACTGGGGAGGGCGGGGGTGCCATCGCCGCAGGAATCGGTTTCCCCCAACCAGTCACATTGATTCTGCCCCTGGAAAAGTAGCTTCAACCGCAAAAGTAGCATAACGTCTCAGATATTACAACAGGAAAACTAAGGAATGGACTTGAAGCTTATTTCTTATAAAATTTCTTTATCTCTTTCCCTATCTGGTGGCATATACCCAAGGGACAGTACATGGCCTCATATACCAACATGTTTTCTACGTGTACGACGTGAACGACTCGTTCTTTTGAAAGATGATTTCAATTATTTACTATAATCGACCAATCACATAGCCGGTTTATTTATACAGGTAGGGGGCGACCCTACTCAAGTGAATCCCCTCTCACATCCTCACTATTTTCTTACTAACAGAATGTGCATATACAGACCCTCGCCCCGATAAACGACCACCAGTCTCCCACCACGAAACCACGACCGTACACGAAGATCAAACCACAGAGAAACACGAAACTACATTTCACTGTGAACTTTGTACAAGGTCATTCAACCGAGCAAGTGATTTGAAACGTCATCAGTTAGCGCACATTGAATCTAAACCATACACGTGCCGAGTGTGTGACAGACAGTTCACATGGCTGGGGAATTTCCACAAGCACTGTGCTACGCATGCGCCATCTACACCACACCTCCCGTTCTACCCACAACCCACCATCTTTAGTATGTGTCCACCACCACCACCGCCACTCTTTAATACCACACCCTACAGCAATCCTGCATTCTACTTCAGCAGCTTTCCAGCGAGACCGCCAATGTCGCATTTTGGTGGATGTAATCAAGTGTCACGTGTACTGCAATGCAGTATCTGTCGCTTGACCTTCACCACGTCACGTGCTTTGAAAATGCATACCAGAATTCATAGCGGGGAAAAGCCTTACAAATGTGGTCAGTGCAATAAAGCGTTTGCAAGGAAGGATGAACTGCATACACACAAGTATTTTCACACAGGTAACGACGGTTTGTTCTTGAGATTTTATTTTGAGGCTATACGCAGTACTAAATAGCCATAATGGCATGATAATAAATTATTAAATTACAATATTAAAGACACTAGGTATCATATCATTTAAATACTCTATAGATAAGGGTCCGGAACCCCAATTTTTCAGAGTTCCGGCTCCGACCGGAACTAATAAAGAAAGCATGGCCGGAACCGAAACTCTGTCGTTTTCAGAGAGATAGAATATCAAGTTTATTTATTGAATAGCATCGATCAAACAGACTTCACAGTAGGAAGAAATTTGGACTACACAAGGAAAATGCACACTATTAACACTTCATTATGACGTTTAACGTTTGTCAATCTTTTTATTCTAACATTTGCAAGCTCTCTCCTTGGTGAATTGAAGTGTCTATCTGTCCGGCAGCAGACAAAGTAACATATCACAAAATATGGCTTAATAAATCAGTTCCGGTTCCGGCCGGAACTTTTTCCAGTTCCGGCGAAACTTAAAAAATTGGTTCCGGTGCACCCCTATCTATAGACTATATTTACAACACATACGCTCTATTTTCAATATAAAATTATTACCAAAACCGCAGATACTTCCAGCTCTCGCTCGAATAAACGTATCTTGTTTTCCTGTCAAAACATTCTGGAATGTGACTACATTATTTATGTCATCTATTGCAGGCGAAAAACCGTTCAGATGCGACAAATGCTCGGCTTCCTTTGTCCGCTTCGGTCATCTCCAACGTCATAAGTTTGTCCACTACGATGTCAAGCCTTATCAATGTAAGCTTTGTCCGAAGTCTTTCACGCAATATCGTAATCTTCAAACTCACATGTACAAACACAGCGGAGAGCGACCTTTCAGATGCAAGTACTGCCCCAAAGGTTTCACGCAATACGGCACGCTTCAAGCTCACGAGCGCACGCACACCGGGGAACGACCTTATTCGTGCAACACGTGCGGGAAACGTTTTATCACTTCGTCTCATTTGCGTTGGCATTGCAGAACTCAGCATTAGCGCTGGAACACTGGTAAAACCTCTACGACAGCGAACCTTTCACAACGTAGGTATTGTAGAACACATCATTAGCGCTGGAACATTGCACGTGAATCTTTTACGATAGCAAACCTATTAGAAAGTTGGTATTGTAGAACACAGCATTAGCGCTGGAACCCTAGTAAAACCTTTACGACAGCGAACCTTCGACAACCTAGGTATATGTAGAACGCATCAATAGCGCTGGAACACTGCATGTGAAACTTTTACGATAGCAAACCTTTTAGAAAGTTGGTATTGTAGAACAACAGCTAATGCGTTGGGACATTGGTGGAACTTTTACGACAGCGAATCTTTCAACATTTCCGAAAATTGGTAATGTGTAACACAACATTAGAATATTGGTGGAACTTTTATGACAATGAAACTTTGGGAAAGTTGGCACTACATTAGCGCTGGAACATTTATGAAACATTATATACGTTGCATTACAAGGGTTTAAAAATGTATGTATGGATAGCGTAAAAAATCTAATTTATAGGATACATATCATAGTATGAACCTACAGGTGGAAATGGATTTCCTATTTACTGCAGATTATTAATGATACCAAACCACTGCATAAAAGTTAGCTGCCCCAAAATTTCCAAGCAATCCCACCTGCGAATTTTCGGGCAGCAAAACAAAGGCCTGTGCCAGGCTACGTTGTCAACATGAAATCGACTCGAACGGGATTTGAACTCGATGATAACTCTGAAACAGAGTTGAAACACTGCTGCCATCGCAAGAATATTTGATAACTCGCGAGAATATCGCGTGGGCTCGAAAATGGACTTGAACTTGTGCTCTTCCCAGTTGACTCGGTAACTCAGTTGGTAGAGCCTCAGCTTGGTTCGCCGAATATGGGAGTTCAAATTCCGCATGAGTCATAATAAATATATTGTACAGTAAAATAGGTTTACTTTCTTTTCTTTCAAGCATTTGTATAACGTCATGAAGTGTAAAATTAAAATTACATACAGTAGTTATATTACACAATTATTAAAACTGCTTATACTTTATATCTGGGGTGAACACTAAACGTGATTGGCTGATTTGTGATCACGTGGCTTTAGATAAATGCAATGTATCCCGCCGGCCAACAAGTGTTGCCCGCCCCGACCGGCTACGTGCATAAAGACACAAAATGGCGGCACAACTCGCAAGTTTATAAGCTACGATTTTCCAAGTTTGTGTTAAAATTAAAAAGAAGAAAAAAGAAGAAAAAATATACAACAGGCAACAGGATATGCTGCTGAAACCATCAAGTAGGTTCTTTTAATTTTAAACTAGTTTACACTACAGAGTTTTTGTCATACAATGAATGTTGTTGATTTTTCTTTCGTCGCTATATATAGCAAAACACTTAATATTTGTTCCCTCAGGAAATAGTCAGTTTTGTTTCCCCTCGAATCTCAATCTTGAGAAAAACTAACTATTTCCCTCGGGACCAGACATAATTTTAATTCTATATTTGTTGAAACTATCAGCCGGCAAAGTATCATGGAGTGTGCAAAGCATATTCTGTTAGTACGCGTTCCAACTTGCATTCAAATATATTCATGAATCAATTAATATTATATTTACAGCAGAGCTCGCGTGCCAAAAATTGTAGAACGTATATATTATAGTAATTAAAAAAGAATAAAGAAATCTTGTGAGTTCTACTTTAGAACAACGATTGAAATCTATTAAATTTTCCGTGAAAGTTGCTAAGACAGCTGTTTTATGAATAATTATCTATAATGTCAGATTTGCAGCGATAAAGGATACTTTATGATAGCCGTTACACGATACAGAATTCGCTTGTCACGACATCGAACTTAACGGTTTCGAAATCAGCGGTCTCGAATACTTAAAATTGCGAAAATATGACGAAGACTGTTAAAGAAGATCTTTACTTTTAGGTTTTATTCAGAGAAAGACATACATCCCCATGAAAGCAACGAAAATCTTCCGAATCTGATCCTCCATAATCTTGTGTTCCGTTTCCATCTTCAGTGGTCATTATATATTGTGCATGTCAGTACATATATATACATATTATAAGATGATGACATGGATATTTCAACGATTTAAAATTTGTGACGAAGACGATAGCGACTAAGCCTTCTTCAGGATAAAACCTTGAAACTTTTCCAATAATGCTGGATAATAATCTTCATATAAAATGAAGATAGCTCGATATTCCATACTGTTGTGACGCTCAGAGTTGAACTCTTCATTCTTCAATTTGTGTTTTGTGTAAAATACTCCGCTTCCAGGAAATAGATATGTGACTTAGACGTACATTCCACTTTATACTTTTCCTTCAGTCTTTGAAAGTGATAGCTGAGTGGACATAGTAGAGAACTTTAGGTTTGACTACGCGAGTACGAGATTCGTTGTTTGCAAATATCAGTGAACTCTATACAAATACTGGCGATAACTCCAGGTAAACGGCCCTATGATTTGATTCCAGGTAAACGGCCAACAAAGTAATCTCTTGTAGGTATAAAACACGCGTGTACTTCGCGTGGGCTTTGCGGGAACTGAAAAATGATTTCCGATCGATGTTTTTCAATTCTTACAAGTAAATGCTCATTTTTAGTAATAAATACCCTATATATACTTAAAAACTAAAAACTAAATGAAAAGGTAAGATTGATGCAACTTCAGTCCATATTCTTATGTGATCATGCAGTTCAAATCCATCATAGATAGTTCAGAAAGACAAAAGTTTGTGTTTCTCCGCGGGGGGTTTTTCTAAACTTGTTTTTCGCTCGTCAAATAACTTTGCTTTTTATGATGAAGTGTTTCTAAAATTTGTTTATTCGTAAATTATGAAATTTCGACGATGAAAGATGCCGATTTTTCCTACTGAATTCAGTATAGGTGCTACGGCATACCTACAAGACGGGTTCAATTTCCACCATATTTGGCCTCAAAAACACAGCCGGAGTTATCGTTCCAGTTTTTATAGAGTTCACTGAGTTGGCGTATCCAAATAACAAATCTCATAGTCACAGTAGTCAAATCTAAAGCTCTCTATTGATACGCGGACAGCTTACTGCACACACGCACTGCAGGCTTTTCACTCAACGATACAATACCTTGTGCATGGTCACTCCCGATCTCGCCGTTGTTTACGTTTTTCTGCCTGACCTAACATACGAAAGATCTTTTTTCTGTTTTCTTTTTGTCGCACGTTTCTCTTCGCTTCGTCTTTCGCTTTCTGTTTCAAATAAGCAGTTCTTTTCTGCGCCATTTTCTCCTTGCGCTTGCGAAGTTTCTCCTTGTTAGCCGTGTACAATTGCTGCATCAAAGTGTAAGCCTAAATAATAAATAAAAATTTACACAAAAGTTTCAAGAATTTTTGAAAGGGTAAAAAGGGCGTTGTATGTGTCTCTTTCCACAGTTAAAGGCCAATCATTACTTTTGTCAGGAAGGAAAAAAACATTTTCTTGACGAATAACGCGGAAATTACCATGCATGTTTAAATATGTAAATATGTCGAGGTTGTTTGTATACGGCCATATTCTCAAATATACTGTACTTCAACAAGCAAATTTACTGCAATTGCCCAGTCACGCATACGTGATAAAAAAGCAGATATAAACTTTCTAAACAAAAGATAATGTAAAACGTAAGTAACAGAACGGCGAACATGCAGATTACGTCATCTCAAATAACATTAATATCGGGATAGTATAGCGTTGCAGAGCGCAGAGGAGAGTGGGCAGTAAGGCTCTCTCATGCACCAACCCATGGAAAACATGCACCCCTCCATGCACATGAGGCTAGATCCGCCCCTGCATTTGTGTTACGAACTTGATGTCAAAGTGTTCCGAAAGTTGTCGAAGAATTGATCTGGAGGTCAAAGGAGTGATTTCGTTGTACTTGCCTTTTCTGTAAAATTGCGATGGAAATGGTAAGTATGTCGACCTAAAAACTAGAATCCCGACAACAGATGCCGGGAACTCGCCCAAGTGGGATGGAAGCAAGATCATATAAACTGCACCCAATAAAGTTAATTAATATTACGAACGGGACCTTGCCCAATAGAGTCAATACTAGGTTACCCACAGGGCAGTAATGCTGCCTTTGACAGCAATAGACAAACTACAGGGTGTTGAACGAGTCCTTCAGAAATATCCTATTATTGTTATCCTTGTTAACCCATTTATTGACAGTACCCTACCACTCGGACTGAGTATTAGTCAATATTATACGAGCGGGATCTTTCCCAATAGAGTCAATATTACGAGCGGGATCTTTCCCAATAGAGTCAATATTACGAGCGGGATCTTTCCCAATAGAGTCAATATTACGAGCGGGATCTTTCCCAATAGAGTCAATATTACGAGCGGGATCTTTCCCAATAGAGTCAATATTACGAGCGGGATCTTGTCCGCCTTGGAGGGGATCACATAAACAGGATCTAATGAAGTATGCATATACCTAACACTGTAGTTTCTTGACATAAAAAAAGTTGTGAAAATTGTTTGAAATTTTTGGTCACTTTGTTTGTGCGTTGAAACGGATGTATCGGCGGCTCTGCATGTACTCCTGTATAAGAATATCCCTGATAACATATTCACCACCGCACTTACTCGTTTCTCATCTGGCTCCATGACAACCGCTCTTTTGGTTTCCAAACTTGGCTTCTTCCGTTTCGTTTGCAGCTTGGGTTTTGATTTGAAAGGCAAATCTTTTTGAAGATGTTTGGGAACAAACAACGGATTAAACCGTCTGGGCATTCTCTCGATTGGCTAGAGGAAAAATAAATGTTATTTGAAACTTAAGCCCGGATCAAACGGAATGAGGTGTGCACGAGAGTTTGCAGTAACGCAACTTGGTTAGCGGTTCTTATCGTTTCCCCAACACTATATCATTTACTTTATTTATGGAGCACTTCAAGATCAAATCTTTATTTTCTTAAATGCCGAAGGGATTGTAGATGGAAATTTTGAGTGGAATTTTTATACATTTACTAGGTCTAACTAGGAGCAGTTGCGAAAAATTCAACTACATGAGGCCCTCTGGCGGGAACCAAACCTGCGGCCTTGCGATTCCAATGCAGCACTCTAACTAACCTGCGATCAGGCCTATAAATAAATAGGCCTGATACAAACATTAACAAAAGTTCACGCCGTACGACCGTATTTCTGTTGATACTCAGGCTACGCTCTAACCAGTTCAGCTACAGAGAGAGTAGTCGAGCTCTCACCATAACCTCATGCATAAATACTAAGGTGATGCCAATGTACGGTGTATGGGTAAATATCAGGATTTTTAGCATCTCACTCGATATGACCAATTGTTGAATTGGCAATTCCAGCTTTTAGTTTATGCGTACAGGGGACAATGGGAAGTAAGGTATCACATTGGTGATTATGCTGAAAAAATAAAAATGGTGGCCGTGTAAACACGGAGTGATAGCTTATACTTTAAATATTGAAATATTTCGGTTGTTTTTATTGAAATTTTTCAGCATAATCGGCAATATGATACTTTACTTCCCACATCCCATGCAGGCATAAACTAAAAGCTGGAATTGCCTATTGTCCCCTGTATCAAGTTGTGATTGCCAACTCTCATTAACTTTACAAATAAAATGTAAACAAAATGAAAAAGAAAAACATCTTGAATGGCTTTACCTTGTACAAAGAGTCTTTATTCAAAGGAATTTCGAGACCGCGATCTTTACGTATCTGAGCGACGGTTCTCATACCTTGCCAACCAGTTTTGTCATCAGATGACATTAGCAGTGATGTCACAGGGTTGTAATATTTTGGTACACTCACGGGGTACCAACAACGGATGAACACGATATCTTTAAAGGTATGTAAAACAAAATTGAATGTGAAAACTATATACACCAGTAAAAGAGATGGTATAACAGAAATGAAATAAAAATCTTATATTCGAAGAATTATCGACAACTTTTTGTTAAGCCTTGTTTCCATTTGGTCTTAACTGTGGTGACCAAACCTGCCACAGTCTGTTAATATATGATGGCCTGGAAGCCAGGCAAACTTCAAGACTGCAAAACAGAAACGAGATGCCTATAAAATCTCCAAAAAATTAAAAACCATACTATTTAGAAATAAAAATGGTTATTTATAATGATTTCGTTGTATTTGTGTCAGTAAACATTAGGGGTTAGCTCCAAATTCAAATGTCAAAAGATGCGCTTTAAAAAGTTTGAATTAAGAATTCTGGAGTCACAGGTCAACTCCAAACTTGAATTGGCAAGAAGCTGTTCATATATGAGCCGGGCCATCTGAATCGTGTCATGGAAGAAAATTTTTTCCTGACCGTAAAAGATCGTTTGAATGAACTTCATTCTGGTACTGAAATCAAACTAAACTGTCAACTTTCAAATGTCATATTATATGTTTATGTCAAACTTTCAAATGTCATATTAGATGTTTATCAAAGCTGTTGAGAAGAGCTTTATTAAACGAATCATCCAGTTGAAGAATGATTTATCTCTCTTTATTATATAGTAGAGAGTGAGATACTGAAAAATACACAGTGAGATATTTTCCATATCTTCACTAGTGAAGATATCCATCACGTGACTTATAGTATTTATACAATTTTTTGCTTGGGACTATATAATAAACATAACATTACACGGTGGCTTGAAGGTATGACTTTTATCTTCTCGTGTTAAAAACAATATTTTACTTACTCGCTGAGCTCGTTCTTAAAATATTGTTTTCACCACTCCACGATAAAAGTCATATCTTCGCGCCGCCGTGTAATATCCTCTATTTATATTCAGAAATTGATTGCGCTCGATCTGTTATATATATATTGCATTTTGACAATGTCAATATTCCCTAGGTGGATTGAACAGTAGCGGATGGCGGCCGACCGTCAGTTATCATGAGATAATAATGGATGACTTGCATTATAGCGACGCCAGCTATGCATGATGGTACGAGCCGTCACCTTACAATGGAACGAGATGGCAGACGTTTCACAAAAAAATTCTTGCGAAAATTAACCTCATGAACAAAAACAGGTGAAGTCGCGTTTTAAATTAAGATAAGATATTTTCTTTTCACTGACAGTCGTTTGTACTGAATCTACCATTTCATCTACCAAACAAAATTCGCTCGCTCCTATGGTCGCCATTTTGTTCGATTGCAAGTACGATTCCTACCGGCATGCACAGCGGGCATCGCTATAAGGGAAGTGATCCATTCGGGCTTGAAAAGGCCGCCTTTGATTGTGGAAATTGATGGTGGTAGTGACGTAGTGTGTGATCTATCGCTTGAAATGCACCATCGGAATGCACCGCTTGAAATGCATATATCTTGAATGCAGACTCTCAGTGGAATATTGACAGGCAACAATAAAGATCAATCATTTGAATGACGATGTGAATTAAAAGGAATGCAAGGGGAAGATGAATTTCGGAAAAAACTTCTTTTCGAAGGAATAACGTACCAGTTTGTGTTTATGATGCTGAGGTATCTGATACCTATACTCGTTAATGCAATACTTCCACAACTTAACGGTAATTTACTTACATGTAGAACTTTACTCAACACGGACTTCGGATTACGGAGGGGGGGGTGGATCAAAAGCCACGTTTGTGTCACACTGGTCATTTTCTCAAAATCCTTACTATGAAAATAACATGGATCTTCGTTGGACATAGTAGGGAAATCCAAGTTTCATACTAATTGCAATTTCCATACTTAGTGATGCAATTGTAATTCCATAGTATGGATATCACTATTTTTTTCAGAGTCAGTTTGTGGTAATCTTCAACACATATTACAAAACATAAGATTTTGAAAGTTTTTCACACATCACACGAGCGGAGACGTCCGTGTTGTCACAAACGTTGCTTGCTTAAGCTCACTAGCTGTTGACAAGTATCGGTCGTTTGTTGAAGGGAGGAAGTGCTGCGGGCAGGAGAAGGGAGGCAGGCTAATCAGCTGTTATAGCGGAAGCACGGAAATGAATTACCTAAGCGAAACTATGATTTATGGGACGTCATTTTTACTAAAATATTGCCCCGCATAAAATATCGTTAAAATTGCCTTTTGTTTTATACCAGAACAATATCGAAAGATTCCACTTTAATGTAGAATTGCGAGGTAATAGATTTATGGGATGTCAATTTACTCGCATATTGCTTCAAACTAATGACTTTTAAATTACTATTGTAATTTTTGTTCTACTTTCGTTCTCGAGACAATATCCTCTTCCTCCCTAAATGCTTTTTCAAAAATAAGAACGTCATTGATCCAGCAAGGTGAATGTTTAGTTGGAGGCATCAAAATCTTCGAAGCTATAGAACTATGAGAAATTTCACATCCTTTGAGTCTATTGTTTGCGGCTATACAGCGCTAGAACCATCCAGCATTTATATCAAGAATCAACTCGCAGCATGTATCCTCACTGGCGTGTTCTTTATTCCCACAGTGATACTAAATGGCATTTCTATAATTACTATCTTACGTACATCTCAACTGAAAGAAAAAGTTTGCTATTTTCTTATACTCCTGCTATCAATAACGGATTTTATAATTGGATTTATAGCTATACCATTAAACATTGCCTATGTAATAGACCGGGACTTCATCGGTGTTAAAATCGTACTGCTATGTTGGCTAAACTACGCGTTGGGACACTACCTGATGGGTTTATCATTAATAACACTATGTGGATTGAGTTTTGAGAGATATATGGGTGTTGTACACCCAATCTTTCATCGCGTTCATGTGACCAAAAAACGAATGTTTATATACGAATGTTGTGGAGCATTGCTGATCTTGGTACTTTTTTCTACATTGGTCGATACAAATAAGAAGTTGTCGAAATATACCGTGTTCGTTGCAGTACTTATTTGCCTCATCTTTCTTACATTTTTGTATACGAGAATATATATGGCAGCCAAAACGTCCCTCAGTCCAGGTAATAGATGCGCAGCACGTCCAAATACTGAAGAATTGAAATGGAGAAGAAGCTTTACAAAGGAACTAAAGTTAGCGAAGTCTTGTTTTCTCGTAGTATGTACATTTGCTTTGTGTTTCCTGCTTATGATAATTTGCTATGATAATTTGCTATGATAATTTGCTCATCTCCGTTAGCCACCAGTCGAAAAAAAGAAGCTTATCGAATGATGTGGTCGTGGTCAATGGTCTGCGCTTTCTTGAACTCCAGTCTTAACTCAGTCATATTTTTCTGGTCGAGGACAATGCTCAGGAAAGAGGCCGTCAAATTATTTAAAGGATACTATTGAAAACTACCTGGTATCTAAATTTCGTTATTCACACACTTTTCATGCTGATCATTATCAAGATTGACGCTCGTCAATCTCGTTGCCAAAGTATAAGTGTTCCTCTTCAGGTTCGCGAGCGTTGCAATGTAAGTTTATTAAAACAGTATCGCGGATCAACAACGCTTTCCCATGCATGCAGTAGATTGTGAAGAGCTTTTTTGCATGTCGGATTTCTGACAGCCAATGGATTCTATCTTAAGTATATCCTCGTATTGTGAAACCTTGCATCTACACGCAAGCGTCCCGCATTATGATATCACAAATTGAGCGAATTGAATTGCCGAACAATTTTCGAATATAATCTGTGCTAAGAACAATCGTAGTTTGTTACACACAAAATTGTAGTAAATCATCGAAGATTCAAGTTTTACTATTATGTTAAATAACAAGATTTTAAGCTCGATAGATCTCGCTCTATTCTATAAGCTCTATTATCTCGCTCGATATAGACCCTAACAGTTGAAAGGTTTTGTTGAAGGACGATTATGCACAATTTTCACACCAAATCTGGAGCAGCTGCAAAAATGGCAACTATAGAGACCCTCTGTTGTTTCGATTCCCGCTATAGAGGGCCTATATATAGTTAAACTGTCTTTACCAGTGTAGGTAGTACCAATGTAGAAATGCTGTGCTGAGTGGTTATATTACTACCTTAAAAAATAAGCAGAAACTCGACGAGCTTAACTCTTGACGAAGGGCCTTCGCTCGAAACGTCGAGTTTCTGCTTATTTTTTAAGGTAGTAATATAACCACTCAGCACAGCATTCCTACATATATATAGTTGCACTTTTCGCAGCTGCTCTTGGCTATATTAGCTCTGAAAAATGTATATATAATCTTCCGCTTGCTATTATGTTAGTCTGGCCTTTAAAATACTTCGAATGTAAAATATAATTTTTTTTTGCCAACCTTATAGGAATAACTATATTACCATTACGATATTGTGACGTGGCATATGCAGCGTCACTCATGCATATAGCCGCGCAGGCAACGAGAACTGCATGGCGAATTTCAACAATGCCAAAAACTTTTGTCATCTTTATCTTAACATCTTTAACAAACATAGGTTGCCCAGTCAAGCCGCTGGGCTGCCTATATGATCAGACAAAAACTGCATGCATGCATGCTTACCGCTCATTAAAATCTTGTCTTCGAATGTCGCTCGAAACGCTCCATCAGGCGCCTAAATAGTAAAACATTAGAAATTCATTGATAAAAATCGACTTGTCCCGGCTTTGGTAATTTCAGGGCATATTTGACCGAACTATAAAATTGTACACTCTTTACTTACTTTGATAGCCTTTTTCACTTGACCTCTTATGCCACTGACAGTTCGAACGTTTGCACCCTCAAACTTGGCTACTTCTAATGACGAATTGAACATTCCCTATATAAAAGTAAGACACGGAATAGGTTGGCCACGATTTAAATACTCTAATTTGTACAATCAATCGATATTGCAGAATGTCCTCGTATGTAGTTGTAAGTGCCACGAAGTTCAAGTTCTATGCACTTGGCAAGGTTGAGGCCAAGGGTGGGGGAGGAAATGGGAGGGTCCATGCCCCACACTTTTCGCAAAGACTACTTCTTCTAAACCCCAGGAGATAGTGTTGGGGGGGGGGGGGGGTA